GTTAATTATACATTAATTATTAATTATCTTAATATAATTAAAAATAGGTATTACAGTTAGTAATATTATAATTTTCTTTTTGTACAATCATATTTAAATTTTACTGTATAAATTGGTTTTTTTAAGGAAGAGTAACAATTTTTTAATATTTTCGATATCTGGTCCTAATGCTTCGTTCATGTTGGGTGGAATATTGTATTTTTTGAGGTCGTCGATGTGTTGATGGCACTCCGTTATTATATGTTTAACTGTTAGAGTAACTACAGAGGATGTACATTTGGTCCTCTTTGGCCATGGGAAATTTGTGAATTAGGCCTGTATGGTAAGGTTAGTTAACCTAACCCAAATGAATAATTTAATGATAGAAAATGATGATGATTGTCTATCGTTACTGTCTCAGTACATCGTTTTATTTTTGAACCAATATATGCACATATTTATCTACGAAATTGAATAATTAATTATATCATTTTTGGTTTTTTGAATTAAAGCAAACATTAGCTTCACACTTATAATATAGTCACAGTATTATTTATTAGTGTAATAGAAATAGACAGATAATAATAGATAATAAATAATATAAAAATATATATTATGTGTTTAACAAAACTTGATTGAAAACATTTAATTATGGTGAACGATTAAAGTTAAATAAAAAAAATCTCATTAACCTTTGATCCTTACTGTCGAAATTCAAGAAAAAATTATATTTATAAAACAATTAAAACATTGTTAACTTATTTCTGCAGCTGGTACGCGTTCTCACGTAGTAAGTAAAATGATTGATTTCTTACCTAGGTCCTTATACTACAATTGTTATTTGCGCCAGCTTGTGTGCACATAACATAATATGTCAGATTACAGAAATATGCAGATATTGATTTTTTTGTCTTACCAGTGGTGTGTAAACAAAATGTTGTTCAGTTACTCGAGAACCTGATCTAAGAAGTGAAAACACGAGTAAACAATATTAATAAAAAGAAGAAAGGCACAACACTTATAAACGTACGAAACATGTTTGTGAACAATCAATGCCCGTAAGAAAAAAAAAAAAAAATGTTAATTGGACAAACTGCCCGAGTTTCGTTATTCATGTAAATATTAAATAACTCAAGAAAATATTTTCACCTCTTCGCCCGGCCATTAATTGTAGACATCTTGCTTAGAAAACATAGTTAATAAACCTTGCAGTGTTTTATGGAAATCACCGTATTACATTATACTCTGTAAGCATATTATTTCGCCTGCCGCAATCTGTTTTGTCACCGTTCTGTAAATTTTTTTTTTTTGTTCACCGAAAACATAAATTGTATTCACCCTAGTATGTGTGCACAGTATAAATTACTAATGTATAAATGCATCAACCATTAGTATCATTTCGAAGTATAACCAAGAATATATTTTTTTCATACTCAAGTATATACTCTACGTATGAAATAAAAAAATTTACACACCACGTAAACATATACATTAACATCGTTTCAACTAAAATCCATTGCGACGGATCGGCAACGTCGCTTTACCATAAACACAGTAGCCAAGTAACGACACACCGTACGCCGCTTTCTGTGTTTACGAGCGGCTGCCACGGCGGAATGTTGGTCTCGGTAATAATCTCGCTGCTGCGTTTCAGGAGCACGATTGTGTTGCACCTGCCTTTGACACAATGTCTTTTCCTTTTTAGCGCTTTCGGTTTGTTAATTTCGTTTCATTTCCTTTTTTTTACCCGCCTTCTTCGTCTTCTCGATCATCTTCTCTTTTTTCTTGTGTTTCTTCTTCGGCGCTGACCGTGAAGACGACCCTGCGCACAGCGGGGTGACAAAAACTACCTGTTTGCATTGACGTATACGTATAATATCGTAGCGTATTGATATTAGTATTTTTCCATTGTGTCGGCCTTGTGGTACCTATATTTTATTGGTTTTTCGAAAACGTATCCGTTAACGAATAATATGGTTTTTAACGCGGACTGCTATAAATGCAATTCAATTATTCTGTTTGTGGTGATCGCGTTGCTACGCCGTCGTCGCACCATGCGGTACACCGATAATATATATTTTCACGGCGGCACTACATTATAATCGTGTATCCATATTTTTTTTTACCCACTTGCAGTGCCCTAAAAATCGAGTGCGCTGAGTGTGCATTGCACACAGGTCCCGGGCGTCGTATACATTGTGGGGCTTCAAAAGGTCCAATGAATGACATGAAAATATAAATATATAATTTATTTTAATTAAATCAATGGTATTTACTAACTTTACCAATACTCCTTTCCCCACATCCTTCTAGATTATTGCATTATCGTGTTTAGATCATATTATAAATATTATAAAAAAATTATTTGAAAATAATGTGTACTAGTTGGTGTATAAATAAATGTAATATTTATTTTCTTTTGTATAATATGTTTTTTGTATGTTCTGGTTAACTAATAATTTTTGTCCAATAACGCCATACCCTAGGTATTATGTATAATAATATAGGCAGAAGACCTATGTACAAATTTGTATCATTCATTTAGTACAGTGATTTCCAACGTGGGCATTTTTTATTTCGAAGGGGGTGCTAAGGAGAGCGCTTATCTATCATTTACATTCGTATTGTTTATAACTGATTGATTGCGATGAAATATAAAACTGCCTAGAATAAAAACTAATTTAAAATACCAAATTTAATATATAGAATTATGTAGGTATTATATTTTTAAACGTTTATATAACATTTAAATCTAAATAATTATCTTATCGGACTATAGATTCTAGGTATTAGGTAGTTGTCAATAATAGCTTAACGTTGTTATTGTCTTATGGGACTTATCGTATCCGTCGACATACTTGGTCGAAAAAGACTTTAATGCAGTTCAACAACTTTTCAATCAAATCAAGAAACAAAATAGAAATATGTGAAAGAGGAGATTTAAAACTAATGCTGACTTCTATTGAGCCAGTTATAATTTCGTTGGCGAAAAACCATCAACCTCAGGGCAGTCATTAGTCACATAAGCATGTTTTGTGTTATTATTTTATATTAGGAATTTCAAAATCATATTATATAATTCATATTATTAGTAAGTATTAAGTATAAAATAAACTAAATTGTAGCGTTAAAATGTTAAATAATATTTTGAAAATATTGATTGGGAAGGGGTGGTATGAGATTTTTAAAATATAAAAGGGGCGTTGAGTAAAAAACGGTTGGGAAACACTGATTTAGTATAATAGTTTAGAGTATATAATTTATTTCAATAATAAACTATCATATTTATTGATCTATTTAATATCATATTTTATTGAACCTTTTAAATTTAAAAAATCTCTTATCCTCTAAAATTTAAATTTCATTAGTTTCCATTGAAAAATGTATAATGATAAGAAGCTTCAAGATTTTTATTTGCACGCAGGCGTCGAGTAGTTTGGTTACGGTACTACTTACTCGTATGTACCAGTGGCGGATCTAACGGTCGTTTAGTCGGCAAATGCCTACGGGGCCCCTAGCTATATTTAAGTATGAGGCCCCGTACATTTTTGGAAAACCCAAAGATTATTTTTTTGTTTTTTATTATAAAAATATGTAAATCAATTAATACAGTTTGTATTTAAAAAAATTTCAATAAGTAAATAGGAGAACAAATTAATATGACAGACAAAAAGACGGTGAGTAAGGAAGCCATCCAGTGATATAGGACTCTTAATGGAATACCCTATGTAAAAATAAAATGAGTTGATAATATTATTATTTTATTGTAATATTATCGTTGGTTGATTGTGAATAATCTAACGAGTCGGTAATCGGTATCTAAAATCTACTATCTACTATTTAAGGTGTAACTATCTAAAGTTTTAGATTAAACTGACCATTGATAATATTTTATATCTTCACAAATTTATTTAAAAATATTATCTAACAACAAACAATAACGATTTAAGACCATTTTAATTTGGTGACATTACTACGTGAGTACTGAGTTATGAGTTATCTTGTCTACCTTACTCTACACAAGTTACATTGATTAAATATATTTAACAGTATATTCAGTGGCGCATTTAAGGGGGGGGGGGCGAAAGGGGCGAATGCCCCGGGTGGCAAATTTTTGGGAGCGGCAAAATAACTTTTATTATTGATGTGTTCGTGATTTTTTTAACTTTCACACCTTTTTCAGTATTATTTAGTATTTTAAAAAATATTATTGAGCATCGAATAAGAAATTAAAAAAATTATACTATACCTAGTCACCTAGGTAATAGTGAAATAACAAAATAGTTATATTACATTTATTATTCGATAAGACATTATATTTTCGTTCGATGTTTATAATAAAGACTCGGGTACACAGAACGCGGTATTCACTTTAGAGCACATTTAAAAAGTTTACAAAAGAAATAAAATTGTACCTTAAAGTGTTCAATGTATGTTAGCATTTATAAAAGAGAATAGTTAAGTTGAAGTATATTCTTATATTGATATTGCTCTAAGGATGCTACTATGTATGTACACCTTCGAGTAATTGTTCAACGGAAAAATCATTTTCTCCATTAAAAAGGGTCAAAACTTATTTAAGATCAACAACGGGAGAAAATCGTCTTAATTAATTAACAACCCTCAACATTGAAGCTGATTTAACAAAAACTATTAATTTTAATGATATTATTGAACGTTTTTCTTCTCAAAAGTCAAGAAAAAAATTATAAGCTATCGATTATTTTATTATATATAATTAATAATAAATATAATATATTTAATCTAATAAAAAACCATGTATTGTTAATTATTGTGCATATAATAAGTGTTAATTCCGTTTTCTATATTCAATATATATATTTTAAGAAAGGAATATTCACTTTGAAAAAAAAAAATTAGGTTAACGTTAGGATATGTATTACTATAAAATTATTTAATAGAATATCGTTAAACAACTGATTTATAATTTGTTTCATAAAATTAATTTTTTTATTGCTTAACTTTGAATTTATATATATATATTTTTTTTTTTTGTTAAGGAGGAAGGGCGGAAAAATTATTTTGCGCCGGGGTACGTATATATTAAATGCGCCAGTGAGTATATTATACTATATAGTTTAAAATTATATTTAATCAATGCTATTTTTATAATTCTATAATTTTATAATACACAATATATAAATTGTATGTATAAAGTTTTAAATGCTATTAAAACTATTTTTGACATTATCAATCGGAAATGCTAGTACTGAACATGCAATGAGTATGCTACGAAGATTGAAAAATTATTTACGGTCAACCATGGTACAAAACCGTACGAGTGATTTAGCTTTACTCTGCATAGAGTATTACGATGCACTTAATCTTAATATGGATGAAATTATCGCGAGGATATCGATTGTCATAAAAATCAAAAAAATAAAAGAATACATTTTTTTTAGTGTTGTTAACTCATTATTATAAAAGGAAAAACTTTTATTACATAAATATAAAAATACTAAAGTATTGTATTAAACATATATATAAACTTATTTTATGTGTATTATATTTATGACCAATTAGATGAAAAAAATAATTTATGAATTTGTGATTTTTCGGTTCTTGTGCATATCAAAACTTGTACTTACATAAAGATATCAGCACCTTGGCATTTAGTAAAAAAAATAGAGGCTAAAAAATATACTATTATGAGAGTCTATTTTTATCAGACACATGAACATTTTACACACATATTCGGAGGGCCTTATTATGGTTTTAAGCCCCTGCACCTAGCCCTCCTAATGTGTCAATGAATAAAGGTTAAAATGTAGCAGTTATAGCTCCCTAGATCGGGGTTCCTCGTATCAGTTTGCCGACCAATATTTTACTCTTAAATCCGTCACTGGTTAGGTTAGTTTAGGTTAACCACTGGGCATGTCCATTTTCGACCAAAAGCGTACCCTTCCCTTTTTGGCCAATTCAATTTTCAACTAAATTTAAAATAAGCCGATTTCCTTTTCGACCAAAACAAAAATTTATATGATAAATTCAAAATAATAAAATAATAATATACGATGTTTGATTATGATGGAAACTATAATAATAGGTATATTATTGACGATTCAGGGTTGAAACGGTGTGCCAGGGTTACCGACACCCGGATCTTTATATAAATGTACACGAAATAAATATCAAGTTATTTATTTTACATTAATTAAAAGTAATACAATTAATTTAATAAAATTATTCCGAGCCGCGTGGCTGGCTCGAATTAGCGGCCGCGGCGGACGGTAACGGACCTGAGCAGGTGGGATAAAGAATTGGATACACAGTCGACAGCAGACTTAAGCAAGTGAGCGTATCGACCGTGATCACTTTTTCAGCGGATACTTGTGTAAGCGCGCCGGAAAAATTTGTATGAATATTGGCCCTAAAAAGGGCCGTTTTTAGTGTCGATGAATAGGTCCACAAATTACGGAGTCCCTCCATGTAAATGCCACTGGAGCCGGGTTCATGGTTGTCTTGTTGTTGTTTTCACGGCCGTGGTTACCGCAACCGCCGTGCAGTCTTCGAGGTTGCTGTCGCCGTATTCGAGATCGCCACAATTGCCTTCGTCGTATTCTTTGGAGCCGTCGTCGCAGTAATTGCCGCAGTCGTCGTAATCTCTGCAATCGTCGTCGTCATAATTGCCGTCGAGTGCTTCTATTCTTCTTATCATTTGGATGTTGATCGTTGTGAATGGAAGAATGGAGTATCGATGCTCTGAAAAATGGCCGTATACCTAATCAGACATCGACGCTTCATTTTCATTCGTTGAATTTTTATCTGTCCAGTCGACGATGTAAACGACACTATTCTTCCGCTGTATTGGTTGCCTTCATGCCGTTTTATATCGTCACAATGATGTTCTTGGCGGCCCTGAAAAGGGCTGTTTTCGTCTGAGCGCGTGCTCCGTTACAGGGTTTTACTCACGTAGCGAGGTTTTAGGTTCACATACATAGCATAATCCCCTTTGCAACAGTATCAAGGTTTGTATAAAAACTATTTTAGGCTTAGACTATAATTACCCTTGGGGTGAAGCCCCATCCCCCCAAAAAGTGCCGCGCAATGGCACTCGAGTTGGTGAGTGGATCCGGCAGGCGTAACGAGCGAAGACCTAAAATTTTTAAAATTAAAATTCCTATTTTTCGAAAAAAAAATGCAAACAATTTTCATTACGAAAAGAGATCAAAATTAGATACAAAATATCGTTCTCTTTTATATTAATATTTTAATAATTATTGACAAATATTGTACATAATTATTTTATTATTTTAAATTTATTACATAAATTTTTGTTTTGGTCGAAAAGGGAAGGGTACGTTTTTGATCGAAAACGGCCATGTCCTGTACACTACACGGCAAATAAGTCCACGGGGCTATCGAGATTTAATTTTTTTGGCATCGTCTACTAAATAATGTGATGTTTTAAGGCCTCCGGTTAATGAATGTATATTGGTTTATTGTTTAGTAGACGAGTTTAAATTATCATTTGACACGATTAGTATAAAACTATGTAATTATCATGTATCATGTACTATATTTTATTAATAACATAATATTATTTTTTGCTCATAAAACGCACTAAATTCAGTTTTCAGTAAAATAATTTAAATATATAAAGTTACTTCTTAATTTTAAACTTATAGTTTTTATCATAAATTAAATATTAGGTATAGACGCAAATGAGACTAAAATATCAATGATGAACAAAAAATTAATAATTTTAAATTTAAATTTTTTATTTTATTTATTATTGCATGGTGATACAATAATTATATGAAAATGAATTCCTTCCAGAAATAAGATTAATACAATTTTACAAATATTTTTAAAATATACTAGGACAGTAAACACTTTTTAAATGTAACATATTTTATTTACTATTACTAGGGAACGGATTTATATGTACTAAAACCATCCAAATATGTAGGAAAAAAATTTAAAAAAAAAAAAAATATATAATTATTAAATTATCAAAATGATTTGTTGCATTGAATTATTACAATATATTTTAAATTATCAAATATTAAATGTCGCCTATTAGATCTGAAAATATTTTTAAAACGGCTAAATGATCGTTCCACATCAACCTACATCGGTTGATTTAAGCATGTTTGAAGGGCATATTATTAGAAGGCGATAATTCCAAATTTTTAGAAGGGTGTCTGCCACTAATTATGTCATTAATTGATTTAAAATCAATATGACCTGAAATTTTTTCTGTAAAAACATGAATTTTCTTTTTTACTACTTCTCCTATTGGTCCGTTTACGAGTTTTCATTTTGCAATCGTTGATTCGACAATTTGCATACTTTCATTCAAGGACATATTTTTGTTTTTAATTTTATAATTGTATGTGCAATAAAACTAAAATTCACTGAGATGAAAATTAAATTTGTTTTCAATGTTTCATTTTGCATAATATTTTGAGCTTTTCTAATAGCGATAAAAGTTCTGGATCTAAATTTGAAATAATTTTTTATATTTTTGTATGAAGAAGACGTATGAATGATGAAATAATAAAATATGTTTAAAAATATTTACAAATTAGTGAAATATGTAAAAATATGTAATTATACCAAAATATGTAAAAATATGTAAAATAAAAGTAGCATCATATTAATAGGAATGATTTAAATTATGAACATTTCTTATCAAATTTTAAATATCTTGTTTTAATAAAAATATGTATTTACATATAAATCCGTTCCCTAACTATTACTATTGCATGGATAATAGTCCACAACAATCATTTATATAGGTAAGGCTAAATTTTTTAAAAAAAAAGTAATTAAAAAGGTTAACTTAATAATACTAATATTAAACCCATGTTTAGTGTTAACCGTAAAATAATTGTGAGTTTAGTGCCTTATAATAGGTATTGTTTATTTACTAGAAAAAAATATAGTCCTGTTTTTAAAACATGTCACTCTATTTCAAGAAATCCTTTGTTTAAAATTAACATTTAAAAATGTATTGATTATATATGAAAAATAATATAAATTAATATTATATTATATTATAAATTAACTGCAGTTTAAGTATCGCATAATTACATGCTAATAGTAATTGTTAATTAGAACACTATTGAGGTTTCATTATTCAGTTATTATACTTACATTGTTTAAATTAATTAAATTATCAAAATATCATATACACTTAGTAAATGTCAATATGTTATTTTAAATGAACTATAAACTGCCGATATTTTGAGATTTAAAAATGATTTCCATTTAGCAATAGTAACTGATTAAAAGCAATCACGCTCTGTATTGATTGGTGGAGGAAAACTTTACTTTATAGTTAATTTTATAGCGTAGTGTGAATAATTATTTATTTAAATTATCTTCTTACTAATTATTTTTGATTTAATAAAGTTAAACTCTATCGATTATTCGGTAGAGATTTATACGTTGGTACAACCCAACACAATGAAACCAATCGCTTAGCTCAGAATTGCAAAAAAAAAAAGAAAATCATTGAAATGTATTTTTATTTTTCTTGACATACAAATCCACCCCTTGAAAAATTATTTATAAAATATGGCATTTATACCGGTACACTGAAAATGTAATAACGGTTTGTCTCACCTCGCCGTTGGAGGGTTTCCATCGTTACCTTTGATTCTGATCACTGCGTAACATTCAATGACGATCTTTCATACCTGTGTTTATATATGATGTGTCCACTATAAATTGTAAACAGTTATTAGTTAGTTTTTATACAGATATCGTCCCCACTCGGCCCGTTTGATAAAATCCGAGAACGTGTGGTACGCATATAAATAATATGCACGCAAAACTATTATGCGCGTCTTATAGTGTTCCGGAAAAGACAGTTTTAATACGATACAATGTTTTCGAGTATTAATGAAGATGCAGTCGACGGCAGTTTGTCGGCTCTAGAGTATATTTTAAATACATTTGTGAGCGAGTGCGTATGTAGTGGATGAACACGAACTCTCTGCTGCGGCGATGGCTTCAAAATTGCCAATTTGGTTCCTTGTGTGACCTACATAAATTCAAACCCCTCACAAACTTCTTTTGCTT